AAATATGAACGAATAATCCATAGATAACAGAAGAATGTTATGCAGTATTGAAATTTTCTATTTCAAAATACTATTTATGCTAAAATTGTTACTTCTTGAAGACTTGCAGTGAAATTGCTTTCATTGGATGTGTTGTTTGTGAATTAAGCAATTTAGGTACTTGCTGACTTTGTGGTCAAGTGTGAGATTAAAAGATCAGGCTCATGGTTGACAGCAGCTTATTATGGTAAATTACACAAGTACTGAAACCAAAGAGCGAACTGTTAGCTCAGTCTAAAGATCACAAGTTAATGTGGATTATTTGTGATTTGTAAACAGATTATCTGTTAAACTGAGCAAGACTCAGTCGGGTGAATACAAATAAGTCTTCAGTTAAAATCTGCAACAATAAAATAATCTAATGAACACWTTTAATATCACTGACCTATATTTTTGGACTATAAAATGTTAATCGTTTGATAACTTTTTTGTTTTCCATACATTTTCCATCCATTTCAGTCCATCACTTAAATGGACTCTGTAATTATTTGAAAATGAGATAAAAGTGATGGATTTACTGACTGACTGATAAAAATAAATGTGACCGGTGTTAAAGTTTGTCTTCTGTTCTGATCAATACAAAACTCAGGAAGTCACCAAAACCACTGAGAGCGCCGATAAAATGGCCGACATGCAATACATTTCTGTTTTTCTGTAATGCCACTACTTCAAAGACTCAATAAGAAAAGCCTGCTAGATCAAATGAGAATTTCACCACTAGCACTTGAGCATGACTGCAATGTTTCTCAGTTCGGCCAGCACTCATTTTAATCTCACTAACTTTTTTTAATGCATGCTGACTGATCCTAAGTCTGCATTTCACCAAACCAAAGTCAAATCACAAACACGTGGGGTCAAATGATTGCACAAGATTCTATGTCAAAAAATCTCATTTTTTCCACACATCTCTTCCTCTTTCTTTCTATTATTTTTTCCGTTCTTGGCTTCAATCTAACTTGGAAATCCTGAAATGACATTTTCCACTGTTTAAGTCGCATGTTGATAAATCCAAAGCAGTACATGTGTTTGTACACTCAGAGCTATTGTGTTAATGATAAATCCCATTGTGTCAAGACAACAAGTGCAATACCCAAGGGTTTGACCTCAAATCTATACTCACCGCAATGTCACAAAGACTCTCTCTCTCTCTCTCTCTCTCTCTCTCTCTCTCTCTCTCTCTCTCTCTCTCTCTCTCTCTCTCTATATATA